GTTAATTCAATATATGACTGGGATTTGGGAACTTTAAAACCAGTTGCTGTCAAGTGGACTCTGACTCATGGTGACCCCATGTGTGTCAGAGTAGAACTGAGCTCCATAGGGTTTTCAGTGGTGAATTTTTCAGAAGTAGATCTCCAGCCCTTTCTTCTGAGGTGGCTCTGGGTGGACTTGAAACTCCAATCTTTTGGTTATCGGCAAGTACGTTAACCGTTGGCACACCCAGGGACCCCTTAGGAACTTTAGCTAATAGGATGATTTGTTCAGGCAGTGTTTTGGTAGGCTTCAAGTCACATCACTTGGACACCTTCCTTAACATAAAACTGGACCTGATAGAAATGTCCCTGTACCTAGTAGTGGTAAAAAGACAATCTACCCTTAGCCCTCTCACTTGTCCTTGACTTTCAGTGCCCATTGTGCCCACCTTCCTGTACGCCACAGAGTTCAAACAAGTCAACACTTCTCAGTACCTGGGTCCTGCCATGACTTCCCAGCATGCCCTCACTTCGTCTACCTTTTCTACCATCTTCTCCTTCTTTGACAACAATACCATGGCTATTGAAGAAACTGCGCCCAGTAGCACAGCATGGATGAATGACACTTCTGGCACCATTTCCCCTCCAGTCACTGAAGCCATCTCAGTGCGTAAAAACAACTGCTTGCAAGGCACAGAGTTCTTGAAGGAAGAGAACATACGGGTCGGGTTTCTGTTTGCTTCAAAGGCTCTGATGCAACTTCTGGTCAACCCATTTGTGGGGCGTCTCACCAACAGGTATCTCAGTGGGGCTCAGGAATAAGAGGATGGGCTGAGAAATCATAAACGTGGCTAGAAGGGAAAAAGAAGGAACAGTGACTTGTCTGGTCCCCAGGGGAGTTGACTGCTTGGAAAGTTGGTTACCCTAAAAGATCACATGATATTCAGGAAATGTCATGGGCTCTAGATTTTTTTTAGAGATATAATGAATATTGGGTACCAAGAAGAGAATCAGTGAACAGCCATGGACTGCTGATATTATGGCTGGAATGAGATGAGGGTAGGAATGGGGCAGTTCTAGCTCAGTCTAGAGCACTGGCTTTCTGGTAGCGGTCTTTGGGATTGTACTGATGTTCTAAAGGAATATAGAGTCTACCTAGGCTATCATTTCTGGAAAAGAGGATTTTGGCCTGGCTATATAGATAAATTTGCACATTTGCTTGATTGCTTATATTCATTCACATGTCATGTCCCATCTGGATACCCGCATTCAGAGACATGTTTTACCATGTATTCAATTGCATTCTGTTCCCACTTAACGTTAAACACTAGAGTCCAAGTGTATGGATACCCATTAGAATTGGATGTTTTTTTAACTTCCCTTTTAGGATTGGATATCACATTCCCATGTTTGCTGGCTTTGTTATCATGTTCTTCTCCACAATTAGTAAGTAATTTTTCCTTCCCCTTTTCTTCCCTTCGGTAAATACCTTTGATTTTATCACATGCACTATAGTGAACTGAGCAGGCCAGTTTTGTCCAGACAGTAATTAGACATCTGATTAAGTGGCCTGTGACATTAAATTTAATTTTTTTGCCTTTTTTTTGGGAATGCAGAATAGAACAGTAGTGGAGCTTCCAAGCTTGGCAACTCAGTCTAGTTGGAAGTTGTCTATTCTGCTACAGAAGAACAGATACTTCACTTCTTTTAGCTGGAAAAAAATAAGGAAGACTGTTTTAATGTGTATCCTGCTATAGTGTGGGGTGTGTGTGTGTGTGTGTGTGTGTGTGTGTGT